TGGCGCCTCCATTGTTTTGACTTACTGGTTATTACGGTATTTTTGTTGTTATTGTTACTACCATTATTGCTGTTGTTKTTGTTGTTCTTGTTGCGATTATAGTGCAAAGTCAAATTGCATGGCAAATTGTTCGCATGCAAAATAATTAAAACTTTTTTGTGGCTTACGGTTGACTGAACGTCGTCAATGGCAACGCGCACAGTGGGCTGAGTGTGATGAAAGTCTGATAAATGAAAAAAATTTCAACTTCGGCTGCAGCGAAAGTGCACAGCGTATTTCTTCTAGCATAAAAGATAGAAAAATATTTTTAACTGGATTTTGATTAGAGAGTTTGAATGGCAGCTACCTACTACAGTGGTTCGATTTGGATTTGGATATCTGCGCCAAATTTCGTGAAGATAACTTAACAAATCAAATAGTTTTCGATACATGAAATTGACTTTGGTTGAACAGTTTGTGTGGCAGCTATATGCTATAGTCATCCGATCTGGACAATTTTCTCGAAGATTGCACCATTGATTGAGACAATAACTCATGTCAAATTTGGTGAAGACATCACGACAATTAAATAAAAAAAATTGCCATACAAATACTTGATTTCGATACTCGAGTCTGTATGGTAGCTATATGCTATAAAGGTCCGATATCGGTGGTTCCAAAAAATTATCAGATTCTTAAGTAGAAAAGAACGTGAGGAAAGTTTCATATTCTATGTCAAAACTGAAAGATCCGTTTGCGTGTATACAGAGGCATAGCCGAATACAGTTATGTAAATGCTTAGAATAAATTCTCAGAAATAAAGTGTAGATCTCGAAAGAAAGATAATTTTAAATTATGGCCTAGCTGAACAGGTCCAGAATGGGCTCTGAAAGGGAAAAATTCAAAACAAGCCAACTCATCTTCACTTTTTCTGTCCAACAAAACCGGTTTTATACAGTGGAAATATGAATATTCGCGTGTCCATTGAATTCCGAAATGACATATGTAGTTGCCCCCGAATTTCAATAATTCAACTCTTCATCATCTCTTGTGCATATATTTTCTACTGAACATAAAATAACTACTATTTTCGGGGGTATCGGTAATCCAATTTCCTATCATCAAAGAAACAGTCGCCGCACTTGCGTCTAGACTCCCACGTCACTGTTGATCGTCATAACATTGAGGTCGTATAACACCAACAATAAGGTCAGGCTCGTAACTCTCCAGCTCTGAAAGTTTTCGACGCAGAACCCACCGGGGGAAGCAGAGGAAGAGTATGGCCTCCACTCCGTTGGAAGGACCAGGTGGAGAAGGACCTGCATTCGATTGGAATCTCCAATCAGCGCCACTTTGCAAAAAGATAAAACGATTGACGCGCTGTTACTGACTCCGCTATAATAACGTAAAGAAGAAGAAAAAACTTTCCAAATCGCTCAAAATGTATAAGCTTATTATAAATCGTAACTAAATATATAAATTAATGCAATAAACCATTTATTTTAAATAAAAGTCTTATTGTCACGTCGCTACATTCGTAGCAAGCATTTATCAATTGAACTGAACACATCACAACCTCGCAGCCCCAATTAACAGGTTATTGATGCAGGGTGCGATCCCATCCCCAGCCACAAATGCCTTTTCTGTTTTGGGCATTTCTCTTTCACATGCAATTCTTTGAGGACACAGTGAGCGCCCTGCCCCGTCGCCTCGCCGCCACTTCAGTATTTTACAGTTCGTGGTGTTACTGACCACTTGTACGCCCTTGGCAAAGGTGACATCACTTTCGTGCTCGACTCAGTCGGGCCAGGGGCAAGCGGTGGGACTGGAAATGGCGCGACGATAAAAACAATAAATTCATTTCTGCCGCCATGGCTATTCATTACGCTACTTCATTCCTTTTCTGTATTTTTTTCCACTATTTTTGTTGCTGCAATTTTCATTTGTCCTCTGTTTCTGCTGCGAACGCGGCCATTAGAACAAGGATGAAGCGAGTGGCAAAGAATACGCTTAAACAGAAATATGGTAAAAGTGGCGACAAAAAGCGACGCTGCAGCTACTCTTGTTGTTGTTGCAGGCGCTACACGGAATAATGAGAGCAACAAGCGCACAAGTGGTGAAGCGCCACCAATTGACCATTGTTTTAGTCATTGCTAGTTATTATTGTATTTGTATTTGTTAAGCGCTGCTGGCCGTCGCCTCGCCGATGACGTGGCATGCCAGCAACACAACTTCGTTGCAGGCATGGGTAGAGCGAGTGGGGCCGTGTGAGGAGAATGAGCGAGTGAACTGAGTGGCAACCTCAGCGGAATTGAAAGTGGAGTAGAACAGTGCAAAAATCAACACTGCGGCAATATTGTTGGGGCAATTACGCAGCGAACCAGAGCAGCACCAGCGGGACTGGGGAAAGGCCAACAATGCCAACAAATACTGGCTGTAATATTTATGAATTGGGTAGGAAACTCTGTAGTGAATGCTTCATGCCACTGTGTGGCTAAGTGTGTGGTAGTGCTGCGGTGAAAGTGCTGGGGAAATATTAACGCTATAAACTTTGTGGTAAAATATGAGCTTAGATTGCGATTGCGAAGCGCCGATAAGCAGAAATTATTGTTGATTCATGTGATAGCAAAGCACATGCGAACTGTTTTCCCCTCCGCGCGTAGGGGGCACCCTCTGGATTCGAGGGGAATGCGAATATACCCGCGGCAAGGCATGCCTGTCGTAAGAGGCGACTAAAAGCCACATGCACTATGTCTGACATTTACAGGTCTTCGTTTGAATGTCAACGTGATCTAAGTCAAAAAAGTGCTATAATATTCTGCTGGCAGTCAAATATCACAAAATATAAAGCATTTTTCACAGCGACAAATGCAACCAGTCATTGAGTTTTTGGGCACTCAACTGGTARTAGCAAAAGCTACAAAGTCACACCAAAGACTATAACCTGGTACCACGGGAAGCAGTTAACCCTTGGAGGTAACTCCAATCGGCTCATTGGGTTTGGTCCTTTGTGGAGATTCGTGGTGGCTGTGGTTTAAACCTAAATGCAGGAAGGGCATGTGTCCAATGTGGAGTCGCATGCGGCCGGGTGCCGGACCCAGAGTACGGCAGAGGTTTTAGATGGGCCTCGAATCCGACCAATTGGAGCCAAGGTATAAGTGCAAAATGCATTTATGCTTTGGGGCGCTGATCAACGCATTGTATTGATCTACGTGCTTCTAGCAACAGAAAGCATCGTGAGGTTAGGAGTTCGTAGTCAGGTACTCAAGTAAACCACAACGGATTCTGTTTTAAATAAAATAGTAACAAAGGAATTCATACAAGTAACATGTTTGACAGAAACTTAAGATAACTTCAGTACGATTTGTTAATAAAGTACAATTTCTTTATTTTTATTTTATTTACGGTATTTTCTGTGAACAAGACTAGTTCAAATTATTTCTTCTTTGGCTTATTCTATGTAAGTAGTTAAATAACAAAACTCTCCGGGTGGATCAAAAAAAAGAATACCTTCCTTCGCTTGGTGCTGCGAAAATAGACTCTTAGACACCTCTAGAATGCCTCTCCAAGTATGAGCTGTTAATTGTAAGTTTCATATTTGTTTTTCTTATTACCAGAAAAATATTTCGCTTCCAACTACTTGAAATAATATCTGGTTTTACAGATTTTGTAGGAATTTAAAATGCTTTACAAAAAGGTCATTTACAATTTTTTTCGTGAATCTAATAGTTTAGAAGCTATTAAGAGTTGAAATTCAACAATTTTATTTTTGCTTTTGAATCATATAACTCAATAAAAAAAATCGTTTTAGGACTGTCCTTAATTATTATTCCAAATATGAGCGTGATCTCTCGACCAGTTTATTTACAGCAGATGCTCGAGTCGTTAGTGATTTGCGATTTTTACATTGGATAAAAATATCGCACATAGAATACTCAAATTTTGTATAAAATGGCTTACGATTATTCAGTTTTATCAAAAACACGAACCTACGAGTATGACAAAGCCTTGAAAGACGGTCGGGAGTTTTTTTTTGAAGCGTACTGTAATTAGGCCTCTTTGGACATGCTTGATTTTGCACTGATCTTACATTCATGGAGAGCATTATAACTGCCTATGAGGCATGGGTTTATTAGTTTAAAATGCAAAAAAGGCAAACATTATCGAAATGTAGAAAAAAACAAGTCGAAACAACAAAAMAAMAAAAACMAAAAAAAAAAAACCGTGCCAAAGCCGCCCAACAATTGAAGTTATGCTCATTTTTTATTTTTTTTTATTTTTTTTTTTCGATATTCGTGGAACCATACATCATGCATTTGATCCAGAAGGTCAATAAAGGGTTGTACTTCGACGTTTGGAGGCATTTTCGAGAGAACATCTGTCGAAAACGGAAGGAATTCTGAAAGAGAAATGCATCGAACTACGATTGTGACCGAATTTAAAGCCAAAAACATACTATCGATCAACCACCGTATTCACCAGATATGGCTCAGGGTGATTTTTTCTTGTTCCCCTTACAGACAAATTGATGTTCTGTTTAACCTGTTTGAAGACGATCGATGAGATAAAACAAAAAAAAAAAGCGCTTATGAAAAGAGTTTCGAGGATTGGAAAAATTTTTGGCATAAGTGTTCTCTAGTTTTATTATTTTGAAGGTAGATGAATAATGAAACATTTTGTGTTTTATTTACAATTTCCGGGTACTTTTTTATCATCTGATTTTTCTTTTCAAAAAAGAGCATACATACTCATATTCTTAATCAGGTCTTAAGTTTTTTCACTTTCTGAAGAAGTCTGCCCTGAAGTTGAACTCTTATATAAAATATCCTCCGCGACAATGCTCAAGTCCCGCCTTTCTCAAGTGTGAAAGCAAAATTGTACAGATTAAGCTTATATTAAATCTTACATTTGGGGACTTTTCTTTGCTTAGTGTTGAGAAACATCATTTCAAATTCATAGAATCAACGCTCTTGAACGGAATAATTTTGAAATTCCTAACAATACAAAATCTTTTCTTGCAGCTTAAACCATTAGCCGCTTAACTAAGAAATATTGACAAGCGAATTCCAAGTTGAGGTAAGTGATTTTTAATAAATCTATTCAAACAGAATCGTCTATAATCTATTTAAGCTTGTTAAAAGCAGATTTTGCAGTGTTATATGAAATTTATTAAAAGCTTTTATCACAAATATTATAAATATAAACAATTTTAAGTGAGATATTCATGGCAAGAGCTTGTCAAATCCATTTATGCTGCAGTCGAGTCAGGATAAGTCAACATTTCACTTTTGACAGGCAATCGGCTTTTGTAAAGTTTAATTAAATTTCAGACAACTCAATTTAAAATGCTCACTGCACATGCTGTAAAGAGCTGATAATTGATAACAGCACTAAATACTGCAACAATGCAGTGACTATTTTATATTATGTTTGTTGCACTAAATAACTGAGAATCGCTCGAGAAAATCACACTGGCAATTAAAGTATCACTCGCCCGACGGCTTTAAGGCAACAGCTGCCGCAACATGCAAACACTCGTAGCAGCACGCCGCGCTCCTTGGCCGCCAGCCGAGCCGAGCCGAACGACACCGACTTGTGTCAATTTGCATATTTATTACATCAACATATTGCGCTTTTAGGCGAGCAAGTCTATACAAGTGCAAATTTACACATATGTATGTGTGCATGTGTGTGCAAGTGGGCACACATGAACAACTGGCAGCTACAACAACACCAAGAGACGCTGCAAAAAAGCAATTCATTTAGAAGTTGAATAAATTAATTTACAACAATTTATTGCATATGCATAGGCGCACCACACAAACAGGCTTCTCCACAGAAGAAGAGCAAACAAACGTTTCCGCATTTGTGCCGTGTAGAGAAGCAAGCAAATGAATGCCATAGAATCAACAGCGTTTAGCTCGTTGCACGCTTTGCACAGCGCACATACACACCCACATCCACACACACATGCATGCATATTCACAGGCATAAATGCAGCTTTTAAGGCTGTTAGAGAATGCGTTGAAAGCATTCATTTGAATAGGTGGGCGCATAAACAGCCTCCGCACACACCAACACACTCGGATGCGCACACACACACACACACACGAATACATCAGCGCATGTGTGAGCAGTGAAACCGCTTAGACCGCGTAGCCGAAACGGCAGAGTGCGCTCGACGAAAACTCGTCAGCATTTAATAAGCTGCGCTCGCAGGCCGCCACGACGATTGCATACTTTTAGGCATTAGATGCCGAGATGGATTCCGCAACCAACAACCTGCATGCGCAATATTTATTTATTTATGTGTGTGTGTCTGTGTCGTTGACTGCCTGCGCGGCGCATTAGTATGAATGCGCATTTATATTCTGGAGAAGACTCAACTACCTCAACTAATCTTATCTAAAGCTCTTAATGTTAATTACACTCAAGAGAGTAGTTACATGGCGCTTTTGTATGTTTTGTGCTGTGATTCTTGTGATTCTTCGCATGAAAAGCCGCATATGCGAAATGTATGTGTAGTTAGTGATAATTATGTGAGTACTTAGAAGACTGGAAAAATGTATGCAATAGTAAAAAAAGTAAAAGTCACTCGGAAAATTATTTGTAGCTGCTTGAGCGGCGTTGCTGAATGGGCACGATTTCATACGGAGTCCTTGTGAGGATTAAATTCGTGTATTTTCGTTTTGTAAACAAACAACAAAAAAATTACAAAAAAAAAAAAAAAACACAGAGTCATTTCGATATTATTTAATTCTTAGCTCCTACCGTTGTTATATTATTTCAGAATAATTTTCAGAGAATTTTTTAACCAACGTTCGCCTGTATCTCTTGAAATTTCCGTAATTTTTAAAGACAATCTACAGAATATATCTCCATAAATACTGTATATGCGTTGGTTTGGTAACATTTGTATGTCGTGTTAACAAAACGGATACAAGACAGTGCCCATCACCATGTTTCTACACCAGTTCCTTCATCAAAAAAGCAAACTTCTTGGAAGAGGTTAGGTTAACCTATGCTTTGCTGGATGAAACATAAAGCATTAATAATTTTGTTGAAAATAGGAGAGCCAACTTTACTCCATTAAGAGAATTTCGCATTGACCGAAATAAACAGCATTAACAGGTGGATGCATGAAAACTTCCCAAGCTAAGGTCTCCCTGTTTTTCCCAAATCATCAATCAATCGTTCAGCCAGACTGGAACAACTCATAGGGGAAGATCATTCTATTCGTACGTTCGACCTATTTGCAAAGCATAAAACCTGAAGTCCTTTGCATGGCACTCACATACTCGCCAAATCTTCTAACGTATCAACATCTCACGAATTCACATGTTGAAAATATCATCAAGTTAGCAAAAGTGAAAATCCCACGTACTAGAACTCTGTTGGTAGGTCGCCATGTACAGGAAGCACGTTTGATAGCCACTTCATAACTAGAAACGAGTTGATATGTCGCCGCGAATACGAAGCCCGTATAAACGAAAACGATTTGCAATTAAGCGCAATAAAAAATGAACGAAGCAGGTTCGCGGAAAAATATCGAGCGCTCATTGCAGCAGCCTCCACTGAAAACATAGTTATGCTCGGACCAAACGGCACAATTGTGGCAAAGAAGGAGTTTAAAGGAATACAATGGTTAAACGTTGCAGTTGCCACATGTATGCTGTTGACTTTGCTTTCCTACCGACAGACTTTAGCCACCCATACGCTCAGCAGACTATCGCATGCACTCCGTGGCCAGGATCGCCTGGTGAAGCCGTCATTGGATTTTGCGAAGATCTCCGATATCATTTATTGTGTTAAAAATGATTTGGTTGTACGGAAACGAAGATTAGCTTGCTGATCGTAATGACGTGCTCCGACGTGGCAAGATCGTTGAAAAGCAACCTGAATAAATAAGGAATGAAAATGTTTTATTTGCAGATACTCACATAAAATTAGAATGTTATATATATTTATGTTTGTTATTTGTATACTAAGGTTTTTAGATATTGCAGTAAAATTCTTCGGCAATGAACTTTTCGGTTTCGTATAATAGATTAAAAAAAATGAAATAAAAAACCCTGGAACTAGAATAAAAATATGCTTTTAAGGTAATGATTTCATGGCAATGATCTGCATTTTTTTTTTTTTTTTGTTTTTTTTTTTTTTTTTTTTTTTTTTTTTTTTTTTTTTTTTTTTTTTTTTTTTTTTTTATTTTTTTTTTAATTTTCTGACATTGTTTTTGGCGAGATGGTCCCTGATTGATTTTTACATAGGCAGATACCGGCGTGCTTTTTCGAACCTTTCTACACGAAATATCTAGATATAGGATCGTTCTGCACCAAGCGCCAAAGAGCACCCAGCTAACTGCTTATGCAAATATCAGCGACAAGAGATCATCTCATCAAAGAACGGTCAGTTATTTCTTCGTCGGGTTCAGCGTCTGGACTTCGGCAAGCGTGTTCATGGTTGAGTAGTTTAAATTGAGCCCATACTTAATGACATGGCGTGGACTTTCAGAGGCTCTTATTAAAAAACCCGTTATCAAAAATAACAACTCATACCACTTTGCAGCTGTTTGTGTGGAACGAACGGTCCCCTTTATCTCCAAACTAGCATGAAAATGGTAAATGAACACTTTTATGTCCATTGAAACTAGTCACCAAACAAAATATAAAAAACATATACAGAAGCTAAACAGCTAGAAAAGTAGAGGCAACAGCAAACATATAATAAAAACATATGAAAAATAATAAAATAAAATTCTGTTTAAAAGGATACAAGGGTAAATCAGATAGAATAAATCGCTTCATTAAAGACAGATAAAAAGCCATTTTTTAGGGGACGCATGAATAGTTCTGCTCATGTGTGACCTCATACACGTGCACGCGCGGCATGTTGCAAAGCATTCCAACAGCCACTAAGTAAATAGAGAAATATAAAGCTAGTAAAACGGGTTTCATGAAAACAGAAGCTGATGAAAAGGAATGTGGCACTGTAAACATGACTGCGGCGAACCGAAATGCACAGTGGCTGGAGCAATGAAACTGGCAAAATGGCAGCCGAGCACAAACACCGAAAGGGCCGAGTAAACAAAATATGATTAAATTTTATGTGGTATAATTTTAGGCGGCACAACACAGCAAACGGTACATGGAAGAGGCACAGCAAAGAGAGCGCAAACTGCGGCATTGTGTTTGTGCAGCGTGTGTGACGACGGTTAGCTTTGGTAGGTTTGTGTTATACATATTTGTATATATATTAAGCGAGGCAGGGCATGACAGGGAATATAAAAGGCCACTGCCACTTTTTTAAATTTATTTTTTGTTGCTTTTGTGAGTACAGAAATTCGAATTAAACAAGCCACAACKCATTTTCAAATTTTTACGSCTTTATTTTAAATWTTTAATATTTTATATATAACAGAATATATATCTATATACTTTTATATACATATATATATATATATATAGATATAAAATAATGTCTGCAAAGTATTTTGATGGCAACGCTTGTAATTAATGAAAGCGTCAAATAAAGACACACACTGTCACACACAAATAAGCGGAATTCATATTCCATGCACCTTCACCAACACACAAGCACTCACACACATGCGCTGCACAGACAATATCGAAAAGCAATAAATAATCGGCGACAAATTAATTTTCACGGACATGCAACAAAAAGTAATTTGCTTTCGCGCATTGATCCGTGCAGCGCGCACAGTGTGCGGCATCAGCGTGTGGCATGTGGCAACAACAATTGCGACTGCATTACCGCACACAAAGCAGAAACAGCGGTGCAACAAGCAGCACAATCAGCGAGTGATCACAACGCGCCGTCAAAAAAAAAATCAAAACTTTTTTGGCAGGGCGTGTGTTGCACGTATGCGCTGTACGCTACACAAGCATTATGCAAGCGCCGTGTGTGCATATAATATATTATTTTGAAGTGTGTAAATACGATTTGTAACGTCCCTTCTATACCCGCACATACTTATGCACGTTTTCCGGGACGTTGATGCATGCGTTTATTTACACAACTGCACAATGGAACGTGTATCCGCCAGGTACCCTGCAGGA